CCGTAAACTCGGGAAATACACGTGCAAAAATAACAGAATTTGTCTGGGAGAGCGGCGAGAAAGTCTGAATGGGCAAGGGGAGCAGAAGAGGTGGGAGAGATCGAGTCAGGGGAAGTTTTCATCGTTCCAAAAAACAAAACCGGAAAGGGAGGGAAAGACAGAGTTGGGTACACGTGTCCACTTAACCCTTCGGCAGGATCTCCACTTGTCCGTATCAAGGCTCGTTCTTTGGCTCCGGGTCGCGCCAGGGGGTCACTTCCTCACTCCTCGGCACCTTGTCGGGACGGTGGAGTCGTGTCATCCCGTCTGCGTTGCCGTGTTTCTCGTGTTTCCGATGACGGATGTCAAATTCCATGCTCTGCAGTGTGGTGACCCATCGCCCATTCATGCCCGAGTAATCCTTGAACGTCTTCAATGCCGGTAATGGTTCGTGATCAGTTACCAGCGTGAACCTTTTGCCATATAAGTACGCTTGGAAGTAACTGATCCCCCACAAGGCCGTGTAGCATTCCCCCGTCGGGGCAGCGTAGTTGCATTTACAGGACGACACAGTCTTGGACGCGTATTCCACCACGTGTTCGAGGCCGTCTGGTCCCACCTGGGCCAAGATAGTTGAAACCGCCTCAGGTTGCCAACTAGTGATGAGAACAAAGGGCTTTTCCGGGTCTAGTCTTATGAGGACTGGAGCCGAAATCAAGGTCGCCTTGAGTTCTCCAAAAGCCCGATCGCATTACGGGGTCCACATCAACCGCTGTTTCTTTTTCAACAGATTCGTGAGTGGTGCCGCGATCGCTGCAAACCCCTTGATGAACCTTTGATAGTACGATTCCAAACCCAGAAAAGCACGAACTTGTGTTACGGACGTCGACACTGGCGCGTCCTTCACGGCTGCCACTTTCTGGGGTTCCGGCTGCAATTCTTGGTCCGTGACCACGTGGCCGAGGAAGGAGATCTCAGTGAGGAAAAATTGACACTTCTCAACCACCACCTTGAATCCTGCGTCCTTCAGTGCGTGCAATGTCCATTCGATGTGCTGCAAGTGTCCCTCATAGGAATTGGAGAAACACAAGGATATCATCTATGTACGTAATAGGAAACGTGGCCGCCAAGCGTCCCAAAATGGAAACTGCTGGTTTGTCCGAGTGACCGGCCGTGGAGCGTAGGAACCAGCATGGTATGGCACAGGGCGACTTTGGCGGTGTTTGGGCGACCGGAGATTGACGAATCGGGAATCGAACGGCACCACTGCATTCGTTAGGGGTGGGTGGAGTCTGTGGCTGTGGTACCAGTCCCAGTTACCACAAACCCGCGATGTGACTGTTGGGGCAGACTGCGGACGAGGTGTCTGTGCCAGCGCCATCCCCACCAAACTGGCTGCCCCGTTCTCACCCCTCCCCCACCTGGAGGCAGAGTCTTCGCTTCTTGGTATTTGCTTCTTGTCTGCTGACGTCCATAGCGCGTTGACCTCATGAGCGGATTCCCTGCTGTGTGAACGCAGGGCCACTGACGGTGGGCCCCGTCTCACCGTGCGACACCGTGCATGGAACATAGTGTTGCTGGACCCTACGAACCGGTTCGACGGACATACTGAAGTCCGGCCTGTGGCCGACATCTTGGAAACCTTCGGGATGCCTCCACCCACAACGTTCGAGAGTCGGCACAAAATTGCGCGGAAATCCCGCCCGCGGAACTTTTCCACGCCGCAGACCATGTGGAAACACAATTCCGCACTTTTCCAGCCCACAAAGCACGGCGTGTGGGGCCCCGTGAAACACTTCCGCAGAAAACATAAATCTTTTCCACAAACTTTTCCGGGCTATGTGGGCTCCCGAAAACAATTCTGCGGCAAAAGTTTTCCTTGCAACATTCATGTGGGGTCCAGGCCTAAGAGAAGTTCAAAATAGCCCGGGGACCTCACAATTCAACCCGGATGAACATACTGGGGCCATTACCCAGCTTCGATAGAACTTTCCCATTTTCTCACTCTGGTATCTCGAAAAGGAATCTTTTGGAAACCAAAGAAACGGAGCAGGGAATGTGCGCTCACGAAGCGGCGATAGCGGAAGTGGAGGCGCCCGGTCGTTGTCGACGGCTATGTAGGATGCAACGTTGGGGTTTGCGGACGCTAATCTCTTCCACGCGGTGCCTATCCTGCCAGGCACCATAGTTGTGTGAGAGATATGGGGACAGTGTTCTGGCATAGCCTAGCCCTTGCGTGGGTAGGGAGTGCTCTGCACTCTTACGACATAACATCCTGGCAGCCCCGTACCTTACCTTCATATCAGCCTATATACCTTACATGATCTTGATACCGGAGGAACCGCCCTCCCCTCAAACCTTCTGTTGGAAAGAAGGGGATCCTTTTTCACCATCCAAAGGTCGTGCGCTGTTTTCACGACACGCCATCCCCAGGGCCTCGAATACTCAGGAAAGCATGGAAGGCAGAGCGGCGCATCTAAACGTAGTGGGAGAGCGTGCGGCTGCGGTGGTAGCGCTCCGGCAAGTCCAAGGGCTTCTACAAGTCTCTTTTGACTTATCTTTGTTGCAAGGCAGTCTGTGGTTCATTTACCTCATGTTCTATGATGCAATTTGATGGTTGTTGTCCGTTGGTAACGAGTTCTTATGATTGATTGAGATATCCTGGGAACATCTACACAACGTGTTTCCCTATTTGGGAGTTGTGTTTGTTGTAGCAACTTTCCATAAGCATGTGTCCGTTTTTAAGCATTTTCAGCTATTTTCTAGGTTAGTCCGTGGTATTTTAGTATTTTGCATTTCTTTGATCCCTTGCTTGCCTCTTGATTCCCTCGAGAAGTATGATTCTTACTGTCCTTGTGTTTGGCGCGGAGGTTGCCTTTAGTGTTTTGTTTTTAGAAACACGTATTCTTGAAGTATTTTAGGATTGACAGAGAGGGATAATTGTTTCCTGCGATGTATGGGAGTAATTTTGTGATTTTCTCTCCTTGTTTGTTTTAGGTATGTTTGCCTCTTGATAAGTTGGTTTTCTTTGTAGTCATTATAAGCATAGTCAGTACGAAGGAGTCGTGGGAACACCAATGGTTGGATGGTATGAGAGACCCGATGAAGAGAAAACTAGAGCTGTATCCATTGGGTGCGTGGTGGGAAAACCGTCTTGGCAACAAAGGCTCTTTACAGGGTTCTGGACAGTGCTGAGGAGAAGGTGTCCCTACAGCTCATTCTTCTATCGACAGCGGCACTACGGGGGCAGTGTGAGTGCCATCGTCAGTGGTGGGAGCATTAGTCGATTTAGTTATTATAAGAGTAGTTAGCACGAGGGAGCAGTGAGAACACCATTGGTTGGACGAAATGAGAGATGCGGTGAAGAACAAACTAGAGTTGTATCCATTGGGTGTGTGGTGGGAAACCCGTCTAGGCAACAAAGGTTCTTCACAGTGTGATTGGACAGTGACGATGGGAGGGTAACCTTACAGCTTTCTTCCTGCCCAGCTCCTGATCTTTGAAGCTTATAGGTAGTAAGTATATGTTCGTTCGTAAGCGCTCGGGTATGTGTGGAGTGGTTTAGGGTGAAACTCACAAGGTGGGGATGATATGAGAGACTCGTTGAAAAGCAAACTAGAGCTGTATCCACTGAGTGCGTGGTGGGAAACCCGTCTCGGCAACAAAGGCTCTTTACAACGTTTTGGTCAGTGATGATGAGAGGGTAACCCTAAGGCTTATTTTTCTTCCCAACTTTTCTGAGCCATTGAGTTTTTTCCTTTAGAGGTGGACCCCACAGGGGGAAATCTCGGAAGAACTCTTCCGCCCGGTGTTCTCTCGGACTCCACAGCCTCTGGAAAAGTGTCTGGAAGTCCTTTTTTTGTATTTCTCAGACCCCACTGCCCGGAAAAGTGGCGCCTGGAAAAGAGAAGAGCGAGTTTCCAAGTCCTTTTCCGGGCGGAAAACGGCCGATCCACCTCAGCCTCGCCGAAATTTTGTGGCAAACGCAAGGGGTAGGGGGGGGCATCCCCCTACATTTTCCAGACTTGGAAGATCGCGCAGGTCCATTTTGTGTCCGCATGGTGCTCCCCAGCCGAAGGTCGGACGGGCGGACGGACGAAGCCGCTGTCACACGATCGGGGCGGCACAAACGGGACAGGTATCATGGAACTAGGGCCTGCGAAACGGCATTCAGCCGCCGAATTTGAAATTCGAAATTTTGAATGCCCTGGGGTGCGTCCGCGGTGCCTTCAGGGGCAAACACGAAGCTGTCTATAGTGAACAGACATCGAGCACATGCATGCCATGCATGGCAGTCCCATGCAGCTGTCTATGGCGTCCTCCATACGTGTTCACGTGGTCGTCCTCCATAGCCCCGGCTACGCTTCTTCGACGTGCTCCGCGCCGTCTTTCCCTATGTTCAGGCTCGGCAGAGTCCTCCAAGCTCCGTGCTTGTTCGGTGTTGCTCGCCAAAGCATGCGAGAACGACCGTTAGGTACGGTGGCCAGGGATTTGTATTGCAAGCGGCCGCACTCGTTGTCCGCGACTTCCTCGCAGCGCATAGCACGCCAAGGCAATCAGGACTCCATCAACCAACGCCTGTCGTGCTCGCCAACGTATCGCCATACCTCAGCGGTCGACGCTGTAGCTAGGGTCCGTGTTCCTCCTCTGCCTTTTTGGCCGAATCCGCATCCATGGTTGTTGGCAAATGTGAGTGGCCAGACAGGGCGAGGAACGGTGGCCGTTCCACGTCATCCACTAGTAATCAGCAGACAGCGCCACCCTACCGCCATCCCTTCAGGCGCGCCGTCATCTACTGCGGTGGAAGGCCGGCTTCGGCAGTTCACCTCTACGTGCAGCGGAGAGGTGCACAGCCGCATGTGATCATCGTTTGCTGTGGGGGGCATGTACAACATTTCCTCTTGTGTGCATCGCTCACTTTTCTTATCGCGATAGTTGTGTGCGTATTGCTTTTTGTGATCGTTGTCGCTCTTCTCTGCGTTGCCGCCGTCCTCATCACGTACGTTCTGGCAAGGCGGAGGCTTTGAGAGGGACCTGCACATCCTGTGCACCATCGACGGACTTCTCGCCATGGAAGGCCGCTGATTCACAGTCGAGCTCATGGGCGGTTATGAGGGGGCTATAAGCATAGAGGATGCAAGACTAGAGGACACGAAAGGTGTGGTGGGCGGTGGAGGTCCCGGGTTCCCTGGATGGAGTCAAGATTGTGCCAGGAACTCGCCGGCGGAGAGAGGAGTCGGCCAACGGGTAGATGGGCATCCGTGGACGTTTGGTGGGATGGAAAGGCCTGGTACTGGCGGGGGGCAGCAAGGGTTTTATGGCATGGATTCGACCCCGGCAGGTGGCATTCTGCAAGGAGGGGTGCCACGTGGCGGTGTAGGGGACGGGTACGGCGAAGAGGCTGTCCATCACACTTCGAGGGTGGATGCCAGCCTCCCACAGTTCGACGTCAATTCGCAGGGTTGCGGTGCATGGGGAGGAGGACATCCGCAGCGCCGATCGCTCGGAGTGCAGCACACGCCGTAGAGTGCACATCAACCTCGGCTGTCAATGGCAGATCGGCATCATGGCCATCCTGTGGACAATTTCGACCGCCAAATGCCGCAGCTTCGTCATGGTCAGCAAACACCATGCACACCTGGCAGTGCGCCGACAGGAGGAATAGTTGACGACTGGTCTCCTGCACGGCGCATGGCGTCCGCATCGGGGCATTCCGGGATATGGGATGGAATGTCGTCACCGATGGGATCATCCATCGGAGGTGGGTCACGACAGATGACCGGGGATGTTGGGGGGTCTGATCCTATGCGACATACGGTGCATGGCGAACATCACCTCCCATCACCGCCTGCCCACCGGCTTGTCACGACAAACGAGGGGGGTTCTTCCCGCACTTTCCCTGACAACGAAGGACTAGCATCAGGTGGTGCTTCCGCTGATGGGCCTACTGTCTTCAGCGAGGAGACGAACACACTGCGTGGCAAACAACGGGCCTGCAAAGCGCCTCTTCCGGAAACACCGAAAAAACACACACCTTGGTCCTTGGAGGAACGCATGCGCCTTGCGAAGATCTGCGGGGAGGACGATGCTTTGATAGCAGACGCAAACGGTCCTCACAGGCACATGACACGCGGGAGAAGGTACGAGTGGATCAGCGAACGCATGCGTGATGTGGGATACAACCGAACACCTGAGGACTGCAGGAAGAAGTGGACAAAGATGAAGGACACTATGAACCTCATCTCCAACAAGTGCGACCGATCTGGGCAGGCTGGGTACTACAACATGACTGCGGATGAAAGGAGGGAGAAGGGGGTTCCACTTACCTTCGAACGCTCTCTGTGGGACGCCATGGAATGGTGGAGGGTGAAGGTTTCGTTCAAATGCAACCACACTCTTGCATTGGAGGAGATGGATGTACCTGAGTCGGGGGGGGGTGAATGAAGGGGGGGGCGGGCCCGATCGTGCCGGCGAGGCGGCATCCGAGGGTGGCGGCACTGATGGTTCGGATAAAAGTGCGAATACACAGCGAACATCGACGGGCAGGGTTTGTGGAGATGGTTCGCCGGCGACGGCGGGGATGAGGGTGATCATGGAGGAATCGACGAGGGCTCTCGTGGATGGGCTGGATAGAGCCTCCGGGACACTGGCACGTGAGACGACGGAAGGGGCTTCGATGCTCTCATCCAGGGTTGGCGACGTCGCACAACAGATAGGCGTCGTTGTCGGGGCTATGCAGGAAGGGAACGCCGTTATGGCCAGCCTTGTGGCAGTTATGGCGTCCAGGTGCAGAGCCTCGCAACGGCCCACATGATGAACAGCGGGGATGTAGATGTAGAGCCGAAATGATTGGCGTACTGATGCGTGGCATTTGTTTGGGTGGATTTGCAGATGCCATGCTCTCTGTTCAATTTTATTTTATTTTATTATTTTTTTTGTTGTATGTGTTTTTTTTTTTTTTTGGTACGCCCGGAGCTTGTGTGGTTGACAGGACCTTTTTGTAGGATCAGAGCTTGAGTGGTGGCAGGACCTCGCCACATGTATGTGCAAACGCCTCCCTGTGTGTGTGTGCATGCAAGCTTTTATTTATATCAGAGCGGGCAGGGCGGTGGAGGCACGTATATGTATATATATATATATATCATATATATATATATATCTGTTTATGACGATATACATATATATCTGTTTGTGAAGATATATATCGTCACAAACAGATATATATATATATGATATATATATATATATACATATTCGTGCCTCCACCGCCCTGCCCGCTCTGATATAAATAAAAGCTTGCATGCACACACATACAAACACACACACACACACACACATCGGGCGACGTTTTGGAGAACTTTTCTGCGCGCCGAGGGAGCGGGGTCGGTGGGGCGCGTATCGTTGCCGTTCCGTTCGGACGCCACTGAGCATACATGCACTCTGTGTTCTTTGCGGCGCCCGAGTCCACACGGAAGAGAGAGAGAGAGAGAGAGAGAGAGAGAGAGAGAGAGAGAGAGAGAGAGAGAGAGAGAGAGAGAGAGAGAGA